AAATAAACTCCTACGTAGGAGATAAAAAAAAAGCCTAATTAGGAGTTTATAACTCCTACGTAGGACTTATAAAGTCCTACGTAAGACTTTATAACTCCTACGTAGGACTTTATAAGTCCTACCTAGGACTTTGTAACTCCTACGTAGGACATTATAACTCCTACGTAGGAGATAAAAAAAGCCTAAGGAGTTTATAACTCCTACGTAGGACTTTTAAACTTCTACGTAGGACTTTATAACTCCTATGTAGGACTTTGTTAGTCCTACGTAGGATTTTATAACTCCTACGTAGGACTTTATAAGTCCTACGTTGGACTTTGTTACTCCTACGTAGGGTTTTATAACTCATACGTAGGAGATAAAAAAAAAGCCTATTTGGGAGTTTATAACTCCTATGTAGGACTTTTAAACTCCTACGTAGGACTTTTAAACTCCTACGTAGGACTTTATAACTTCTACGTAGGACTTTATAACTCCTACGTAGAAGATAAAAATATCCTAATTAGGAGTTTATAACTCCTACGTAGGGCTTTATAACTCCTACGTAGAGGAACACTTATAAATACCTACGTAGGAGTTATAAACTCCTAGGTAGGACTTTAAAGTACCTAATTAGGTTTTTTATCTCCTACGTAGGAGTTATAAAGTCCTATGTAGGAGTTTTAAACTCCTAATTAGGCTTTTTTAACTCCTACGTAGGAGTTTTAAAGTCCTACTTAAATAGTTTATGATATGTTTGTGTACTGCCTGTACGGACTACTACTTAAGGCAGGATCTACACCTAGTCAAGTTTTTAGATAAGCTAAATAAATGGCCATTTCAACATATACTCAGGGACAATTTTTACTGCAACGTCTTATTAAGATTTCCCAGAATTTGTACCTTTAACTATGCTAAGACTATTATATTTCTATAAAATGTATAAATAAAAATAAACGGGAAAATGATACAATTAGCTAGAAACAATGGAGTTAATGAAAGGTGTACATTCTTTTGAAATAAATGGAAAATGTGAGAAAAAATATATTTTGAGCTTATTAATTGATACAAATTCTTTATTTGATGGAAGTTCTTCACTCATTTAAAATCCTTATTGATTCTACAATGATTCAGGGCACATGTTTTGTGTATATTCAATACCTTGATTTTTGTTTTACCATTGGCTTTGACTACAATATATTATTAAAAACATCATGAGAATTCATTTTATTGATTGAATTTTTATGACCCCAAAGTGCGGTCGCTTGTCTGATGTTAAAAAATGCATATGTACCTGTTTAACGCACTTTGGGGTCAACATTGGACCCCAAAGTACGTAACGCACTTTGGGGTGGGACCCCAAAGTGCGTTTGACCCCAAAGTGCGGTGTTACAATGCTGATTGCCGAAGTTATACTTGTAGAACACTTGGCGGAGAGCACTGAATTTAGATATCATATTCATGTATTTTTAAGGATGACTCATACATGTATCAATTAAATTCCTTATGATTATTATTTCTGATACATATCAAGGTGTACAAAAGCTAAAACAGAGATATATAAATTCTATCAAACAACCAAAACGTTTACTTATCATCATTATCGACAACAGACAAAGAACAACTTCAAAAACTTGGCTTAGAATTTCATAATAGTATCACTTGATAAAATATACAGGAAATACATGTAACTGGCCAAAATTGAAGTGAATGATTCACGTTTTTGAAGATTTTTTAAAGAAGAAAAACATACAGGTTCGTCATATTTTTATAAAATTTTCCCTTTCAAAATAAGACGGGAAATGAGAACTGGAAGATAGAATTGAATTACATCTAGATAAAGAGGAGGATAATAATAATAGTTTCGTTCAGTAAGTTATAATAATATATAAATATTAATAAGAATTTCAATGACAGTTGGTCGCCAATTAATCAAATAATTAAAAATATGATATCTGCCCTAAATATTCCAAGTTAAATTATAAAATGGAAACAAAGATATAAAAGCCCTTCAGATAATTATAGTCATAATTATGCACATAATTATTATTTTCTTGTTGATATTTTTACTCTTTGAAAGTGTCTTTTTCAAAAGATAGTTATAAAACATTTTTTGAAGAAAAGTAACTGATTTTTTTTAAATATGACAGAAGCAACTGTTTGATTGTAACGGAGGCTTTTAACTTTATTCAGCGTTCATTTTACCAAAGTATGACGTCTTTCGTTCGTGTCGGCGTCAGTTATAGAAGATACTATATAAGCTTAAAGATCAACCAATCACTTTTGATTTATCAAAGTTCCGTTAAAGAATAATAATTGTTTAGTTGTTTTGCTTTGATGGTTTCATTTCTGCTGTGCGTTTTGTAAAGGATACATGTTATATTTTTTAATTACGAAACAGTATGTTTTGTTTTACTGTACAAACAAATGGTTGTTGTTTAATATTGGGTTTTTTTACATAAGTAATCAAAGATATTTACCATATGCACAGCATATTGCTAACTTTTACGCTTTTTTCTTGGCCTGGCTTGGTAGTTTTGCAAGAAATGTTGCCTGGGATTTATTCAATGACGTATAAACTAGATATCTACCTTGACAACGTCTCATAATTCATATGAACGTTATCTACGTCAAGATATTCCACACGTCTACGTCCAAAAATATCGTTTATTATCACTTGCTTATTATACAGGTGTGCGAAATAAAAGCATCTATAGATATCTATGGGTATTTAATTAATTCCCTTGTTAACCTCTGAAGAACTCTCATCTTGGATTTATCAGAACCATGATAGACAAGGACTTTTTAGACAAGGCCCATTTCGCCCATCTTCAGAGATGTTTGTTGCACACATGTCAGAGATTATTTATGTGTTGCATTAAAAATGGGCAATATTTTCATGTTTAAATAATATATGGTACATCCAATATTTTTTTCTTCACTTTATATCAATATATCGACACTGTTATTCGTTAATACTGTAAATAAATAACCGTTTTATTAATGTTAATACTTTGAATGACCTCGTGAGGAGATATTTTGTTAATTGCCAATGTTTCAATGATATTAACTATCTGTATGCAGTTTTCACTGGGTAAACTTGATTTTTAAAACATAACGTCGTAGATAAATAGGTGCGAGCACGTTTCAATGTATATTAATTATTTAGGTTCTGTATTTTTAAAAATAGATTTAAGATATATACATACATGTAAAGCGTTTAAAATAATTATGAAAAAATGAAGAAGTTAGTATTACAATTCACCGTTATTGAAACTCATGTTTCTCTTTTATTTATATACAAGTGCTTTAAAATAATTGTATATCCTTATTTTATCTATTTTCATGTGCATGCTAGCTTATATCTGTAAGAGCATATGTTTTTAAGTTTACATCTTCATTCAGCATCTTTATGATTCACAGAAACAAATATCAAATATTTGATGACTAATGCCTAGGTCACAAATAAAACGGGCGCCGTCCGATTAAACGATTTTTATAAAATCGGCAGATTTTTTGATGTCGTGGACGCCGGGCGATTTTAAATCTGATACCTTGCGTGGTCATGAATGAAACAGTTGTCGGGAGATTTTTTGCCGAATGGATTTTAGAGAAAGAATAGAACGGATCGGGCGGTTGCCGCCTGATGTCCGTACGGCGCCTGTGCGATTTAAAAGTGAACCGGACGGTTGCCGCGCGGGCGCCGGGCGACAATGACTTTACATTTAATGACATCCTTTATAAATCAGCCAGTTGTAATTATGCGAGCAAAGAAGTCAGCTGCCAAAGCGAAGGGGAAGGCCAAGGAGATGGTCCGTGTTGTTGACACCGAGTCACCAACGGCCAGTATCGAGTCCGTAGAAGGCAAAAATCAATCAGACATTCGCATGGACATTGAAGAAAAAAAATCCGGGTACCGGGCGATAATCGTTTGACTACTTGTCTCTATTCAGGCACCGGGCAGGGCCCGGCCGATGTCCGCCCGGACGCCTTTAAAATCGGACGGTGTTTTAGTAGAACAAAGAATCGCCCGATCAAAAAATCATCGCCCGGTCGCCGCCCGGCGACCGAGCGATGTCCGCTCGATGATATTTTATACTCAGTGACCCCAAAAAATATCGTCCGGCTGCCGTTAGCTTTTAGGTATTACTTAAAACTCGAAGGCGCCCGCCCGATGAGCAAAATTTTCACCTGCTGCCGTCCGATAGTCACTGCCGCCGGACGGACGCCGGCCGATTTTGCGATTTTTTGGGAGAAACAAACGCCGCCCGACGGCATTTTCTTATTTGTGACCTAGGCTTTAGTAATGTGCTATTACAAAGTACGAGAAAGACCATAAAGGGAGACGAACATTAAGATAAGATTTTATAGATAATATAGAAGGGTTACTTCCCATTATTTATCATTGCATTTAGTATCACTGTATTTAATTTTCATCATTTGTGGTTTGTTCATTGTCTTTAATGTTGCTAGTTTTTTATATTCAAATTTCTGTGACAAAGCAGTTATTTTAAGTTATTTATTACCCGTTACAGGAAGTAAAAGATTTCATACCCTGTTCGCTTTTATGTGTCAGGTGCGGAGTTATGAAACTTTCATCAATGTTTTAGATCAAAATTTATATTTAAAAAGCATAAACTCGTCTGTATTTAAAAGGAATAACTTTATAACTACACATTCAAAAGTCGGTTGATTTGTCTCAATGTTATGCCAGGTTTAGAAACATGTGGTTATACGTATGTAGATAATATGTATTGTTTTCTACTCAACACTGTTTTTAAGGAGGGATTTGCACTTTTCCCACGTCTAATTACCAGAAGTACATCATGAGGATTTGGTGCAATATTGTCTGAGAAACACTTCTTCCGTTGCAGTGATGCAATACCTTTCTTCATCCACTGCACGGATATACAATAAAACAAAACTGCAACCAAGCGAGGAAAACAATAGAGTACTTCCGTACGATATAAATACGTCTATACCAAACATATGTTACAATATAATCATGAATACAAATCTATTTCATTTAAGCGTTACTGTTTGCCGATCCTGTTTTACCTGCATTCACTCATTATGATTAAGAAAAGTGTTTGTTAGCAACAGTAAAAAGTGTGCATGAATGCAAATGCTGGAAACCAACAATGATCCGACAGAATGTTAGTTAGTTAATTACTGCGGAATTAAACACACAGCAAAACTTTAACGAATATAATACATATATCATACCTGAAATATCTTATGTAACTTTCAATATTTGTAGCTCCGTAGGTAACAAAACGGTTATTGCACTTATTGTTTTATTAAATAACAGTAAGGAATTTAACGAATACATTTTTTCAAATTTTGGATGTTTGATATTCATGGATAATATCTTAATAAATTATGTAAGTACAACATGTGGTACATTTATTTCGAGTGACACATTTTTAGCTTAACTACAATTTTATTGATATTCTTTTTTAAAAAATCAACATTTGAGAAAGGAAATATCCATTGCAACGCATTTGGATGGTATATCATTTAATCTGTATCAAAAATATATTTAATTGGTATCAAATATATTACATTATTAATAAAAGTTTCATGAATAAAGTTTAAATGATTTAAACATTGATAATGTATAGAAAGTGGTTGGCCATTCTCATGCAATACTCTTTGGTGTTGCAACACTTCTGTTTTTATCTCATTGTCTATGCTCCATAATAATCTTCTACTACAAAGAATGATATGATGATATGTAAATATAAACACTGTCTAAACTATCTACATTGAGTTTTGAACCACATTTTAAGATCTTTCCTGTATCACTCATATTTAAATAATTAAAATAGGCTCTTATTTGTTTCTCATTTTTTTACTTTTGATGGTAATGCCTAAGCTTTTATTTAAATCATCTTCAATGTCATAACAGTCAAGGACAATATTGTATTGATGGACTTATATATGAGGAGTATAATTACGCATGTTTTGTAGTGTTATACTCCTAATTATGAAATAGTCACGTCTTATAAATATATCTTTAATAAAAAAAATGATTGTTTATACTGATTGAAACGTTATAAGTTTAAGTTTAATCAATTTATAATTTTCTTTCTTTTTATAACTTATTTGTAAAAGGTTAAAATGTGACATTGATCAAAATGTTTTATGCTCTACTCTAATCAATTTTTATATTTCATTGCAGGGAATTTACACAAACATGTTATAGTTAAAGGACTTATCGATGTGGATCTACATAGAACAAAAGGTTAGTTTAATCAGTGCTTTTATACATGAAATAAATGACTTACTATACGTAATTTTTGAAGCATTTGTTAAAGAGACAAAATCTTTGCAAATTAAAGAAAGTTTTTTTTAGTTGATAAAACTCATCCTAACAAAGTCACTGTGTCACTTTAGTTTACATTTATCCCTTTTGTTTATTTGTTTACAAGTTCCAAGAGATAAAATTGAGCTTCATAAAACGTGTCCAAATAAGATGTCAAATGGCCATCAAATCCAATTTGCATGATATGTTATTGAAAATGATATGTCCAAATATTAAGATGTTAAATGGCCGTAAAACCCAATTTGCATGATATTATTTTGTAAATGATATGTCCAAATAAGATGGCATATGGCCGGAAAAAAAACCAATTTGCATGATATTATTTTGTAAATGATATGTCCAAATAAGATGGCATATGGCCGGAAAAAAAACCAATTTGCATGATATTATTTTGTAAATGATATGTCCAAATAAGATGGCATATGGCCGGAAAAAAAAACCAATTTGCATGATATTATTTTGTAAATGATATGTCCAAATAAGATGGCATATGGCCGGAAAAAAAAACCAATTTGCATGATATTATTTTGTAAATGATATGTCCAAATAAGATGGCATATGGCCGTAAAACCAAATTTAATTTCAGATATCTAATTGTTAATGTAGTTACTTTGATCCTATTAAAGTTAAGATATATTTGCCACATGCTTCATTTATTTTGTTCTTGTTGTTTTTCTTAAATTAAAGTGTATATTTATATCAATGTATGCAATGCAGTGTTTTTGTGCATGTACGACACGTGCTTTTAGATTTTTGTGGTCACAAGGTTAAGAAAGTAATGTCATGAATTCTGCCGGTTTGATGTGGGTATTTTGATAATTAATAAATGGTTGTACTGTCATAGCATTCATTGGATGCCCATGCGGTTAAACACTGACAAATGGTCATAAACATTTTATTAAAAAGTCTTTGAAGGTCATCTTTCTTATTATTTGAACTAAATAAAAAAAGGCTTCTTTATTGTCAAAGAAGCTGTACCTAGAAAAGCAGATAATCGTATGAAATGATAATGAATTGTGCAGAAGATGTGGTGAATATACGGTTGTCAAAATGTGCTATTTTCATTTAGCTATGTTTTTTTTCTTTTTGTATAATTTCATGAGTTTTTCTGCAACAGATGTCACGATGATATTTTGTGATCAGTTTTTCTCTGCTTGTGTTCGATCCGAACAGCAACATTTATATAATTCCCTTTGTGTTATATAATATGTTCATATATTTCGCCACGTAAAATGAATAAATGTTTTATGAGGTATCTTATCTAGATATTCCTTGTCGTCATGATTATGAATATATCATCATATCATATGTATTGATTGTTAAAACAACAGATGTGGGAATAACAATAAAAAACTTACAATCATATCTGATATATGGTTCGAACATGTATGTAGATTAAGGTATTTCTGTCCCAAACACATTTCTAGAAGCATTTGAACAAACTTGAGGGGTATCAAAACAAATTTAATTAAATTCTACAATTCAATCTTTTTAAATCTATTATTCATTCAAACATATAGCTTTTGATTGTCTGTGCTATTTCGTCTTTTATCTTTTATCGTTTATTTTTTAGATGTTATACATTCATATTTTAACATGTGCATTTTGTAAAGGAAAACAGCTGAAACATATTCCATTGTGAAAATACCTTAATAAAACGTGTTTCACAAATTATATCTATCAAGTTTGATCATTAATTTGATTGAGTTTCATGCTAATCTCTGTACGACGTGCGACATATGGTTGCAAGAGGAAACTTACAATAACAAAACATTCATTGCAGGTTTCATAATTTCTCATTAAAACTGAGAAAAATTCAATATTTGAGAAACATCTTTTGCAGGTTATGTTAACCCTGCCATGCTATATTAATCACCTTTTGCAACAAGTTCAGAGCTAAATGAGCCTTCACGTCAAAGTTTGTATTTTTATATTAAAATTCCTTTAATTAATAGATTTAAAGCAGGAGAAACCAATTACACACATTTATTATGAGAGCTTTCATTCAAAATTTCTTGAATTCAGTTTGAGTCGGTAGCCGGTGCTAGGGTGCTTTCCGTACAAACTTATTCAAATCAACCTGCAACATGTTCAATTTTGCCGTTTTTTGCATTGTTAAGGATTTTCGTTGTTTCTATTCCAATGATATAACTAACTTAACTGTAATTTTGAAGTCTTTCCTTGTTTGCAAAAAGAGTTCAATGTCACATATAAATTATGATATTTTACCTGAGCAAGGTGAGCTTGTATTCTTATCGTTTACTGTTCAAAATATAAAGAATCATAAAGATATATTTCATATTTATGGTGATACTAGCAATTAATGATATTTTCTAACCGGAATTGACAAGTAAAGAAATATCTCACCACATTATTCTGTATTTTATGTACAGTTGTATCGTCTGTTTGTTTATTTATTTTACTTGTTGTTGTTTGTTTGTTTGTTATTTTACAAGACTTAGTGTAGATTTGTTATAGTAATCCATATGCAACAAGTTAAATCTAAATTATAATGGCATGTGAGTTATATTTTCAATACTGCATTCTTTAAATGGACGATTTTTCAATCTGTCGCCGGAATGAAACAAATAAGCCACGTACCATATTATTCGCTTTGAATAACAACGATCGACAAACAATATACTTGACAGCTTTTAGAAGTTTAACAGCAAGACATCAAATTTAATTACATCAGAATCAAAACACATTTTATGTCACATCGTTGGTAACAGTCTATTTGTTTCGTCATCATATGCATGTGAACTAAATCGACAGATGGTCTGGCTTTATACTGATGCAATTGCTTTCATCTTCTGTTCCGTGTATATGACTTTATGTGTAGACAATTGTTTTGGTTTATATCAAAATTAGAGTCTTTGCCATCATATAGTGGTAGAAATTAAATATAAATCAAAACCGATAACATTACGCTTAATGGTAATCGAAACAATTAGACCATAGTGTAAACATTTAAAATACTTTCTAAAACTTTTGCTAAATCTATACAAACCTTCATACCGTCGATGCAACAGAAAATTACTTCTTTATTTGTAACTAAATTTCTTTTACAGCTTTTAAACTTCTTAAAGCTAAAAAAATAATTGTTGTTTTTTTCTTTCTTTCGAAATTCTTCTTCGCAATGAAAACGTTTATTTATCGTCTGGTATATTAAACATAATAATCCAAGATCAACATGATATTCGTTGCTTTTAATTCATTTTTTCTCGTGCTTGATATTTCAATAACCATTCCAAAATATTTTGTTTACTTTCTGGTTTCGCTTCTAAGAAAAATAAATCCTTACAACATCATAGCATTGGTATTTTAAGTTTGTCTCCCTTAGCACAAATCAAGGTACGTAATGCTAACACAACATTTTCTTTCTGAATCTGTATTAGTAGTCTCCCTTTAATTATTTAAATGTGTGGCAGAAAACTTCCTTATTATAATCTTAGTATATTTTGATACTGAAATTTAGAGAGAGAGAAAGTTAAATAGCTAAACGAATTATTTAATTATTTATATACTTCTTAAATGAGATTATAGTTTGCCTTTTCAAGACGTTCGTAGATATGCTATAAAAGAATAGTAACCACCGAGTATCATGATTCAGGATGTGTCAGATTAGTCTCCCTTTACTTCATATTACCTCCTTTTTATATAATGTAATTAAGATATAAATCAAACTTTATTGTACAATAGTAAACTAAGATATAGACATACATTATCTTGATAGACAAAATATGAAATTGCATTGGGTTAAAGCGACGAACATGACGCCGTCTTCTTTTTTACATGACGTCAAAATATTAAATGAATTATAAATTGCAATCAAATATGGCTATCTATAGGTCGTAGTTTTTTGATTCAGCTTGTGTGTGTTTTCCCTATTCTTGAAAATATACATGAAGGATTATAATTTTCAGAATTAAAATCATCTTACTCAAAATCTTTTTTATACACAACATTTGCAAATATATAATTATAATATTTTTCAGACATTGTTCTACCATCATGAATTATCTTGTTTGTAAGCATATACAAGATAAGTCTGACTTTAGTGTTATTTCTACATACCATTTCCATGACAAATATTCCTTTTTATAGATACTCAAACCTAAATTATTTGAACTTTGCAGAATTTCACCGCGGCACAGTCTTGTTGTATACAGGTAACTGTAAGAAGCATGATAAGCACTGTCTTAGGTATAATTGGTATCTGTTTGTGTTCCATGTTTTGATCCCTTATCATAATGAGAAATAAATAAGCAGCATGCTGAACGTGTGATATTTATTAAATTATTATTGATTTATGTGAAATAGATACACCACAAGTGCGAACATTTCTGAAGGCATTATATCAGTTTCTAGAAAATTTTAGATAACTTTTTCCGATCGTTTTTTAAGTTTCTGTATGTTGTAGATACACAAAAAGTGAAGTGAAGTATGACGGCTTGCTAATGAACATAGATTTATTTTAAGTTGCTTAAATAGAATAACATTTTTGTTGAACAAAAGAAGAACTTAATCGATGATTAATTCCTAATAATCTCCCTTTATTTGCAGGAATTTTAAATTTGACAATAAATTTTTACATTTAACATTAGTTTTGCGATAAAAATTATGTAATCTGAAATTTGTGTAGAAACGCCGTACAGAGGACAGTGAGACCAAGTCAAAAGATTTTAGTTGTTCACATGCATATCAATTGTGAATACAACAGGAATTGATATGTCATTCTGATACTATTTAGTACAATGCTTTGCCAAAGTGATATTCATTTGTTGTATGTTTTATGCAATGAAAACTTAAGCAGAACCATGTTCTCATGCGAATGGAAGCCAATAAGCATGTATAACAAAGTATGTTTTTTGGTAACATACCATTTTCCTAGCTGTTATTGTTAAAATGTTGTCAATGTCTTTATCTATAATATATCATTTGAGTTATAAACATATTTGGTTGTTCCAAAGGTCGCAAGGTGCTATTGTATTCACAATTAGGATCCAGATAAATTTATCTATTTTGATGTGTTTACCTTTTTCGATATCGTCATTGTGATGAAGCTTCCAGCATTAACCTGACGTAATTACATACTTTGATTACAATATGGTAAACATCAAACAAATAAGCACCAAGTGATCACCAATATAATTGTAATTAATTACTCTACACTTGAATCAATCAATGAAGTGCATGAGAATAACGTTTTATAGTCAATTGGTTCATGAACGGTTATAAACATGTGCATACAGATTATGTGTGATTTGATGGCATTTTAAGTAAGACTTTAGTCTCTTAAATGTTGATACCTCTTATTTCAAAACATACGTAAACCATTATGACGAGACTTTTCAGCTTTAAAGATGGTCGATAATAATCTGGTGATGAGATAGAAGGTTTCAGCGAAGGGGTCCATTACCTTTTTGTATGTGCAAGTAAGAATGAAAAGTTTCTTTGTAATATTATCTTTTTGATGTCGTCAATCCACATTAAACACATTTCGTCATACAGTTATATTTAAACAAGATTGAAATTCTAAACGGCCACATGCATTGTTCTGTTTCTCCCTTTCTTGTTGTTATAATATTTCCTAAATGTCTTTTGCTGTATTTCAAGTACCCTTAAAATAAGAAAATAATTGATGGTTGTTTATTGTCCTCATTGCCCCTGCTCTCATTTTGTTTTCAGTTTTACTTTGTAGAGGTTAGAACAAAATATGCTTAATTATGTTTGTAATTCTAGCATATGAAATGGAAGAAAGAATAAACACAATGGAAACCTAATTACAATGTAAATGAAAGAAATGTATGAATGGACTTTATTCTGTTTAAACGTATACCGACCAAACATGATTTGATGTGTTAGGCATGCTTATGCTTTGTTATGTCTCTGTAAAGAAAGAAAAACATGCGGAGTAAAGCCAGCTCAAATAAAACAGAAATTGAAACAAGAAACGAAAAGCATGTTTATATTATATAAATCCGTTATATTTTTTTAAACTTTCAGGTAACAATTATCGGATGCCAGATTTAGATCTGGTCGGCGGTAACTCGGATCGCAAAGATGTGAGTTTTTTTACTGTAACGTGCCCCGTTATTGTTCCGAACATATTATTTTTACTTTTATGTTTTCTCTTCACGCCTACTATTTCTGTTTTATATTACGCTAGCTTCATGTGAAATTTCGTTTTACGTGAAACTTGTAATCTCATTACGTCTTGTTTAATTACCTGTTTTTAAAAACTTTACATATTTTGGCAAAGGTAATCGTTGTAATTAGGAATGCTTCTGAAGTTGAAATACATCCAAAATTCATTTTGTGCATGTGAAATTTTTTTTCTAATTTTCGTTATTGTATTCACCGGCACAATGTTAATAACATGTGGTGTGCATGCGGATATTGTGGCAGGAAAACGAGCAATATCTGTTATGATTAATAAGTTTTTGTATTCGAATTAATCAACGTGTTTTCTTAACATCAAGATTAAACAAAACAATGTGATATTTCGTATTTTACTGTATTCTCTCGATTGTATCAACTGTATGCTCAAATACATTTTAAAGACCAGTTAAATTTAAATGTTCTTTCTGTCTGACATCGATGGTAAATTCAGCATTCGTGTTAAAGAAAAAATGTTTATCTTGAGATAATTAAATATTATACTTTGTCAATATTTAAGACTCGTGATGTAGTATACTAATATTTTACTCACCTTTTCTGCGTGTGTCTGTGTGTTTTTATTCTCTCTATCTTGGTGAAATTTAAATTATAATAATATTGTTAAAACGACTTGTTCGAATGATTATTTCTTACAGGCACATTATGCCTCAGAAACTTAAAGGATTTACTTCTTTAGAATCGGCAGTATATTTAAATAATGATTTTAGAGAATATAAGACACTTGTTACCTGAAGAAAGTAGCAATGAATGTCAAATAATTTGTCATAAAAGTAAATGTAAACAAAGTAGTATTTTGACTTCCATACAAAATACTATTTGACTATTATCATTTCTTACTGCCTAAAAGTAACAGAAGAAATTGATAGTGCAGGTATCTGGCCAAAGCGTAACTTTTTGAATAATATAAAAGTACATCAAAATTGGAAAAAAAATATAGAAAAATGAATAAAGCATTTCTACAATGGGCCTGTAAGTGTATAAAAAGATACTGAATGCACACATGTATTGCAGATGAAAATGCAAAAGTTAATGTTGACATGCATACTTTACTTTTAAGTGTTACTTTTTAAGGTTTTGAAGTATATGTTTCTTTGTTTTGAAAATATTGCTAAAACAGATATGAGCCGACTAAGATCTATGGTTTGTACAACAATGATTTTCCGGTTAATTAGATATAGTATTTGTTAGATATAGCTCACTTTAAACAGATTTTTTACAATAACACACTTTTGTTTTTGAGAAATCCTTATACATTGTTTGTATATATCAAAGAAGCAATCAGTATCTGACAGAGTAAGTCAGAGGCATAATGTTATACGGGTTATTTAATAACGATGGTATTCACATACATTTTACCGGTATAAAGGAAAGTCTGAGCTATCTATATTTCATCATATTCTCTCAGAAGATTCGTTCTCAATATACATGATTTGTTTTAAATGTTTTCAAGTCAAGCTTGACTTTTACTAATAGAAACAAAAGACAAAGACATAAATCAAAGAAGAAAAGTAACATGATGTAGTCGTTGTACATATAAACTTAAGTATTGCTTAAGTCTTTAAGTTTGTTAATAACGCACAGGTGTCGCTTCTTGGAACATTTGCATTTCTTCAAACATAGCTTATGCATATTATGCTTCAAAAATAAGTATATTTTCTTTTCTTTTTTAAAAAAATGGCAAACATGACATTGACAATGTTTAGATAAAAGTTTAAAATATGTTAGACGCTTTTGACCTGAATAAAATAGCGCTGAATGTGAAATGTTTTGTCTTGAAAGAAGCAAAATGTAAACAAAGTGTGCGTATATAATGTATAACTGTAGTAATGGCCAAACGCAACAAAGCAAAAACAAAATGATTCAGATATATGTCAATATGTAGATTTTAGAAAACTACATCAGGACACCAACTTCTTTGGCATAATAGGCCATTAATGTTTTAGTTTTAATAATTATGTACAATGATGCAATAAATACGTTTTACATATATTAATGTGTACATTTCGTCTCAAGTTACGGCATTATATATTACAGTTTACAAGATAAATCAATTCGATTTATTTCAATATTTTTCGAACTTGTCACCATATTTAGACGGTTCTTCGCCAATGAGGTGGGTTTTCAAATATACGTATAGGTTATAGGTTATATACAGAGTTTTAAGAAAATTAGTTTCTTAAAACTCTGTATATAACCGACTTACAGTTAGCCCTGTCTATTCAAATCGAGTGCACTATGTAAATAGGCGGAGTCCATTAAATCGGCTCATTAAATATATTTAGTACATACAGTTGAGTTACAGCACTATATGGAAAATACTTCGGCAAAATTTAAACAAAATAGAGCAATTTCATTGGCAGACAAACTTTGGCGAACTGTAAATTAGGTTAGAGATATCATATAAATATAACTTGTATTTTGATAGAAATGTTATGCTTACATGTACTATCTAATAGCTTTAATGGCCCGAAGGCAATTACTTTTCAAAATTTATTTAATACCTTAAAAAAACAATTCCAATATGAGCGCTATAATGTCAATGACAAAGAAAGATTTATAAGTAATCATTATGTTCATCCGAATTCTTATGATACTTTATCATTGTTTTAAACAACGAGAGATTTTAAATACAGACTGGTTAATTATGAAGAATCTCACTTTATTTCTCATTTATTGCAAGTTAATCAACATTTTATTTAACAACTAGTAATAATTACAGATCTAATTACGAATTAATGGCAATGTACCATGTAAGCATTTACCACCCAAGTGTGGTACATTGGGTAGAGAACATAGAACATATTTATTGTATAATGCTTTGTCCATTGAACGACTTTGTATATATGATACTTTTATTTTGTTTGTTATATTGACCCTACATATTAGTTGATGTATATCTGACAATATAAGCATATGCTTCATGTTGGATGAAAAGAATGAAATCATCGTAATTTGTTCACATGTGGTCAAAGATCATACATGTGGCGGATCTTTTTTATCTTAACAACTCATATTCTTTGCTATCAGATAATTTCAATTAGTTTTTGAGTGAATTTGAGTTATACATAATATGTTATGATATGTTATAATTATAAGATTTTGTTTAAAGGGTTTTTTTAAACAACAAAAGTATTGTAAATAGTATATTAATACATTTATATGTATATATAAGCTTAAACATGGTATTCTCTTCCTAAACGGAAATCAGTTGTTTTAAAGATTAAACGCATTGATGAATGCAATATGGTTAAAAGTAATTTGAAAATGTGTAAATCTTATATATAAATCGCTCATACATGATGTTAAACGATACTAGAGAATAGCTGTGTTATAATTGAACCGCATGTAAATGATGATGTTCATTGATTATGACGTTAAACTGCACATGCTTATACATATTCGGAATTGCAGGTTATTAAATTTGCAGGTTATATATTATTTTAAATGCAAATTATTTCATGTTGAACTAGTCAGTAACACACACATAAGTCAATATGATACCACTTGTTGTCATAATTCTTTAGAGTCTTTTCCAATAAATTTTAATTTTTTCAGTGAAAGCAGCCCCTTGTTTATAATTCATCAAACGGTGAAAATCTGTTTAACGTATGTATTACCCGTCACTACCTGTAATTTTTACATTCATTTCGATTTCTATTTTATCAGATTTGGCACGTTACAGCATGTGCAACGAACACATGGAATTCAATTTTGGCAATGTTTTCAATTATGACGACAATGCATTTAACAGCTGCAAACAAGACATTTTAAAAGTAGGGTATAATTCGTATACAGACTACTCAATTGTAACACTGCATGAATTTAATAAAGAACACACGTTCACAGACAAATAATCAGGCACACTTACAATTATTTGAATTTTGGTCATTTTATCTGCAGTTTCAACTGAATGGCTAGCCAAGTACGCCAACACATGATTTTCTTTCGCGTGGGTATGTTGTCAGAACTGTAAAAAGTAGACCTAACAACCACCCTATATCGTTATTTTTGTTGTTCTTTTCCCCAGAGTAATCTTATTAAGTTTTAAATATGTTTAACTAATTGTTCGAAACACACATGAAATAAAAAAATGTCAGTAAAAATTCAGAACTGTTAATGATTAAATCTTTTTATGAATTTGGGGTATATATTCATTCGTTTTACCAAAGAAATATTAAATATTTGATAACGTTGTAAAACCATTCGAATTAAAAGTAACAGCTTCTGTTCTATCATTTAGTTGATCAGTTCTGTAAATGCCACATTCTGTAAATGCCACATTATGACATTATTTGCAAAATTTTTTTTACAACACACAACCACATAAAAATATAAAATATATCTACTTTAGGAATAACATAAACATAAGAATGAAAAAAATAAATCATATCAATTTGTCAACAGCGGAGTTAATGAAGTCATCTTACTCATAATTTGGATGATATAGTTGTTTTTTATATTGTCATGCCAAAATTAGTGCATTCAGAACATATTCTAGGATCGTACAATGTCAAAACTCTCTATGTTGCATCATTGCACCTTATGAAGAATGTAGTATTTATGATGCTATCTGTTGTTAAGATAACATTTATCTGATTTTATGTTGCCTATATTTCCCGGAATGTATTAATATAGACGTAAAAATATTTTGCTTTTTCTTTTGGCAAATTTGTGCAACAAATGTCACAGAAAAATTTACAATGCTGTCATAAAAATCTTTGGTAAGCAAATTTCACCTAGTAAATTCCCAATGTTTTGACCGAAATCCGCTTCTATATGTTGAGTAAAATTCATTGAAGTCCATATTAGTTAAGTACTTAATGAATAATGTAACATTTCATTTAACATACAGACTTCAAGTTGTTACAATGCTACATATTTGGAC